GAGGGTTGATGTTTTACAACTACCTGTTTATTATTGCGATTTGGGCTTAAGTAAACCTTGTCGGGCTAAAAACTTGTAGGAAAGCAAATTTGATTGTCCGGGAATTTTCCGGCCTAGCAACTCAATGCTATTGTCACCCCAATTAATAATGCTATTCTACATTAAGTTACCATAATATGGGTCTATAGGGTTTTAGGTGCAAGTTACCAGTTTAGGGCTTAGGTTACCATACTATGGACACTAGGGGTTGGGGTTTCGGGTTTAGGGCTTTGGTTACCACAATATGGGTATGTTGTAAACCATGTTTCCTTTCTTATAACATCTCAATTTCAATTAAGGACAACATGATGAATAGGGGTCCCCAAAAGCGACCCCCCAATTTCGTACGACCTTCTTTTGCAGGGGACCCCTGCACGGAAAGCTCTACACATGTGCGGTGTGATGAAATAATGGACAAGTGCAACCCAATACCAATATGCTGCCTTCGCATCGGGCTTCGCTTGAAGAGCTTTCTGCTTGGCAGCGGCAACCTTAGATCTCCCGAGCTGGATTCGCGTGAAGAAGGAAGGCCCGTGTCATCATCATTTGCTTGCGTAGCCATTTTTTTGGGTGGAGGCTTTAGGGTTTAGGGTTTGTTTTAAACCTACCGTACTGAGAATGACATGGTGGTTTCCAGAACAAGGGTTCCTTTCGTATATGCGCGACAAAACTATACACCTGTCTATGGGGACTCCAAAAAAAACAACCTGGACCCCTGTATTTGAGGTAACCCCAAAACGCCTAACCCTTAAACCCCTAAAACTCCTAAACCCACAACCCCGAAACCTTAAACCCAGAAATCCCTAAACCCCAAACCCCTAAAACTGCTAAAATCCCCAAAATCCCCAACATCCCCAATCCCGAAATAGGAGCTTTTACCTTCAGGGCCCCGGCTGCTGCGAGTAAGAGGAGATGCTGTCTTGCAAGCTTTGCAATGTGCATGGATCCAGGCAGGCCTACTGTTGATGGAGGAAATCTTGCACCACTTTAAAGTCCTAGAAATTACTGTATTTCAGGGCCCATAAGTGGTGCAAAAATTTCATCCAACAACAGTATGGCCAAACACTACTTTGAGGTCATGGGACTTAATAATCAGGTTAATAATGGGGATACCTATGGTTACTATACGGGTGATAGGGGTTACTAACCTACTTATGAAGTCCCGCCGACCCTCCAAGTAGGAAACCAATGAGATTACCAATTGGGTTTTGCGCTACCTGACTCTAAAAACTGGCCACTCCCAGATAACCCAAGTTTCAATTTCTTGTTCGAGTCTCTTTCCCGCATGATTCTTCGCTATCGTAATGGATCCCTGTATACCTATACACCCTAACCCTGAACCATTCAAGGCGACCAACTAATTCGCAGGAGGCACCTGGTCAACTGGCTCGTGGCCATCGGGTGCCCCTAGCCAATTCCTGAGCTCGTTGAGGTTTAGGGTTTAGGGTGGTCCCAAGTATAGGCTTCTGGGCTTAGGGTTTTAGGGGTCTCAGGTTTGGGCGTTTAGGGTTGTAAGCCCTATCCTTACAAAATGCCCGGAAGCAAAATTACAGGCCCATAGCTAGGAACCCGAGAGCGCGGAGCCTGTCCAAAAAATGAGAACTCTGGCACGGTCTACCAGGAGATCCCTGTTCCGGAAAGACTTAACAGCAATCTAACAATCACTCTAAACCCTAAACCCAAAACTACCCTAATAGCCAGGACGGAAGGCAGATTTTCACCTGGATATGACTCGTTCATTTCCTTTCTTAGGGCTGTGGGGACACTCGGGCTCAAACTGTACTTTTTTTGCAGACATTTAGGTATCCGGCACGCTGTGGATTTTGAAGGATGAAAATTAATGTAGAGTTTCCCCCTAAACCCTAAACCACCCAGGGATGATCTTGCAAAAGTCTCATGGGATCCAGGAAGCCAGAAGAAAACCACGGTGCCTAAGTCATAACGGGACTTCACTGGCAACCCTCAACAGGGAACCCCAACAATCTAGGAATATATCTAATTACTAGGGTCCTCATATTCCTCGTGTGCTCCTGCTCTATTCTTGGAATTTCCTGTTTGGGACTCCCATTAAGTCCCTTTCGACTACAGAGATGTGGAAGGCAGTCTAGAATGAGCGGTCAACGAGACCCCTACTTCCAAACCCTACACCCTAAACCACTCTAGAACCCCAAACCCTAGACACTAAAGAGGATTCCCTCGCTGCAGCAGCTAGAGAGACAGCTGCTCAACAAGCAAGTTGCAAGGTTTAAGGGTCAGGGTCCAAGGTTTAGACCCTGGGATGTTGCCTGCTCAGATCTTCTAACTTGGGCTTATCCCTGCCTTGTGGCGCCTTAACCCAAATCCCGCAATATCCTTCTCCATCCTCAGAAACAACCAATAAGTCGTCGCCCCCAGACCCGCCCGCAAGTGTTGCAATGAGTCCGGCCCCCAGCAATGCTGCACGAACATGGTTCATGTACGGCAGTCGCTGAACGGACCACCATATAGGGTGTTTAGGCCCTGTACGCAGGACTAATGCAGGGTCAACCGGAAAAGCTCAAAATTCTTCAGAAAAGGTGTCTATATTGGGATTATATAAGTCCTGAGTAATTGCGAATTGCATGTTGAGGTTTAGTTGAGGTAGCCATACTGTAATTTTACAAGTAATCTCGGACCATATCAATGGTTTGGGCCAGAATAAGGAAGGAAATGAAAATCGAGTAGGCAACGGGCAACGACATGTAGGCCCCCGCGGTAAACGCCGTTCAGTTTCACTTCTTAAACTCTGAAAACACGCTTGCCATTGCCAGCTTTCATGAAGAAACAGCTGGCTTGTTGGCTCGTGAACCTTAAGTCCTAAGCCGTAAATCCTCGTTCAACCAGGTAGCTCCGGATCGCCAAACCAGCGCCAGCCCCCGAAAAGGGCTTTAGAAAACAGGTTCTCGTCAGCGGAAACGCGAGGGCAAGGCGTGGTGGTCAACCTTCATGACAAAAGTGGTACGAGGCATACACATACGGGGGTTGGTCTAAAGGTCCTTGTTAAAAAGGGGCCATTGGGGACATTTCCTTTACAGGGGGGTCAAAATCAAAGGGAACAGACATTATGCCATTTTGGGTTCAAGTATTTTGAGCAACAACCATAGGGAGAGTTTCAAAACCAGGGGGCCCAAATAGACATCTGCACACAATACAAACCTCACTATGGGTATCCCCAACATGGTACCCCCCAGTTCCTCGAACTCCCATATTGAAACCTGCAAGCTCATAGACCTGGGTAGTTTGTAAGCAGCTCTCCAGCTGCTGCAAGGCCTGAACCCTAAACCCTGGGCCCTAAACCCTAAACCCTAAACCCTTAGCCCTAAACCCTTAACCCAGCTGCTGCGATTCCGTTGCTGGCTTGGGCCGTGGCCGTGGCATCCGCATCCCGGCAGGTAGATCTGGCCCTCCTTTGCTGCGAAGATGTCCAGAGCTGTACCTTATGCGGTATGGGGCTTAGGGTTTAGGGTTCAGGGCTTGGGGTTCAGGGCTTAGGGCTTAGGGTTCAGGGCATAAGGGCTTAGGGCTCAGGGTTCAGGGACTTAGGCACTCAGGGTTGAGGCTTCAGGGTTTAGAGGCTAGGGCTTGGGTTTAGGGAAGGGTCTGGGGTTTATGGCTCAGGGCTTGTCACTGTGGTGCATGGCTTACACTACATGGATTAAGTACTGGCAAGAGGCCCGCACAATGCCACCACGCTGTTGGTTGTAATGCCTCGGCTGGACCGGGACATGTCTTCAGCACGTGCAGCACTGAAAATGGACAAGCTGCTATCACACCATTTTCCTGGGTTGCTGTTGAGGAACTTGAATGAAGTTACCATAACATGGGTATTAGTAAATAACACGGCTTCTTATCATAGCAGCTCTACTAAAGATCCTTTTCAGTAACCGTCATCGTGTCATCGTGTATGACCATGCGGTAATTCAATAACTCAAGTTCTCAAGCCCTCAACCACATACATCCCAAGACTCTAAGCCTTAAGCTTTGCTGGAAACTGAAGGGGTATCTTCTAAAATGACCCCCCCCCCTTTTTAACGGAGTATAGAATATCCCTACTACAAACACAACCTCAAAAGGACCCTTAATGTTTGGAAACCCTGCAAAATCCCCTAAACAATCACATTTTCCGAAGGTGCTCAACTAAGCCCTAAACCCTGAACCCTAAAACCCTAAACCTTACATCCTAAACCCAAAACCCTAAGTCCTAAATCCTAACACCACAAAACCTCAGGGATGCCTCCTGGCCCAGCAGCTACTGGCTGTTACAAGAGCCGCAGCACTTCGTGCTCTCAGCTAGCCGGCACACTCGAGAAAGTCACGAGCTTGAGAAAATCATAGCCCTAATGAGTTGTATAGATGTAAATAAATAAATAGATAAAAATATATACAGAAACAGTATACGAATAGAGAAACCAGTACAAGTGCAATGGTAAACTTGTTAACATTATTTCTATTATTACCACAAGCATTACTGGATCGTTGATACATTTCATAGCCGTGAACTTGCGAGAGTTGGGGCGCAAGCAGGAACTGCCAGCACAGCCAAGAACCCAAGGAACCATCCGGGCCAACCATCGAACGCCAGAGGAGAAATTGACACCATCATACCGCAGGCTAGATGCTCTCACCCCATCAACACGATAAAGCCACGCGACAAGCTGCTGATCATCCCTGACAAACGCATATATGGCCAAGCCCCAGTGAGCCACTAGATTTAGTGGATGACAATAAAATCCTTTACATAATATTGTCTAGTCCCTATTACAACCCCAAACCCTAGATCTCCATAATTGGTGTAAGATCCCCTAAACTCTGAACCCTGTAATTATATTCGTATATACCTCTAGATCATCCCTAGACCCCAATCCCCCTAGAGGGTTTACGGTTTAGGGTTGTATAACCCTGTATATTCCCTCAAAAACCGTCTAAAGGAACTTAAGCGTCACCAAACACCAACCAAGTGCCCTAAAGTCTACATTTCCCTCTGTATCCTAAACCCTAGATCTTTTTACATCCTTTTCTACCCTCTACAGCCCCCTCATCAGCCCTATACATCCCCAAAGAATCAAATTCAGATTAGGGTTTAGGGATTAGGGTATAGGGATTCTACACCCTAGATATCCCTATCAAATCCTACCAACCCTACCTATGTTTCCCGCAATTCGTGGTACTTTCTTGGGGTTTCTATACTTATATATTGGGGTCTATATTGGGGTCCCCCTATTTTGGGAAACCATCATATCCCCCTAAGCCCTAAACCCTCTAGAGCCCTAAACCCTAAACCTTCTAGAGCCCTAAACCCAAACCCTGAACCCTCTAGAGCCCTAAACCCTAAGCCGTTTTCAGCAGACACTGGACCAAGTTCAGACTGGCTTCAGATCAGTCTCTGCCCTGGTGGGACCAGGAGAGCCTGACCTCTGGGTTTAGGGTTTAGGGTTTCAAGGGTTTAGGGTTTGGGGTTTAGGGTTTGGGATTCAGGGTTTGGGATTTAGGGTTTAGGGTTTAGGGCTTAGGGTTTCAAGGGTTTAGGGTTTCAAGGGTTTAGGGTTTCAAGGGATTAGGGTTTCGGAAGAAGAAGGGACCCTTTGTACACAAGTGTAAGTAATCCCATACATTCCCAAAAAAAGTAAAGGATCCCTAACATTGATCCAGTAAGGGTTTAACGTTTTGGGGAGAAGTGCTTAAGATGTTACAGGCTGCAGACTGTAGGATGGTGGAGGGGTTTGGGGATTTTGGGGTTTGGGCGTGGGGTGTAGGGTTTAGGGATTTTTGAATGGTTCTCAGGGTGCAGGGTTAGAGGCAGCAGCTTGAAGCCAAACTGAATTGCGTTGATTTGGTGCGATGGTTTATTTAGGTCCCTTTACAGAGGTTTCGTTGACGACATATATGGTTATGTCTAATTACATTATGCCCACTTGAATGGCTCGGACAGCAGTGCAAGGTAACAATCCGGCAGGTCGCGGAGACATGTACAGGCTTGCAGGGGGCGTATATACGGATCATATAGCCCACGGTTTCATTCGGGTATTAGGAATGCATGATGGTTTACGGATTAAGGATTTAAGGGTTTGTAAGGTTCTGATAATAAGGCTTCCGGATTGGGGTTTAGGGCTTGCTTCTGCCTAAAGAGTGGCTTTCAGGGTTGAGGTTCTAAAGGCTTTTGGGCTCTAGCGGCTGCAGAGTTCTTGGGATCTAGGGTGGATCCAAGGGACGTAGGTACTAGGTAGCCTCAGGGATGCCGAAACCTTACCGCCACAAACGGAAAAAGAGCTTAATCAACACATCAGATATTCTAGACTAGTACTATTAGCTGCCTCCCTGAACCACCACGATCTTGGAACCGGAATGTAGGGCCCAAAAAGGCTTCTTCCCAAGGAACCATCCATCTTTGGCTAGCTTGATAAATCAGAATCTATCATATCTTCTGTAGAATCCCTAATAAGGACAGCGAAGCCTGAAAGCGGAAACCCTGTACCGCGAGGTCTTAGGCTTTCTCTTTCTTTAGTGCAGGACACCCCACTGTTGGGGATTTTCGCCAAATCCATGACCCTAAACTCAAAATGTTAAACTCTTGGGGATGTTTTGGGGGAGGGGACTCTGAATCACGCGATAGCTGCTGCCTGCCACGTGTGGGACATCATCATATAGCCCCAGCACCCTTATGAAAGTCTTGCATGGGCGTAACCACCAGGTAACCTTCCTAAACCCGAAACCCTGAACCTTACACCAAACCCAAAACTAAAAACCCTAACCCCCAAAACCTAAACCCTACCCCAAACCCTACACTCTAACCCCTTAAGCTCTAAACCCTAAACCCTCGCAGTTGCCTGTCTCAACCACTTCTGCATTGCCAGTCCTGACTTCGCCCTTCAGCACCCAGAAGAACAGATGCGGGCTACCTTCAGGGTTCAGGACTGGGGCTTATTAGGGTTTAGGGCTTAGGATTTAAGGTTTGGGCCTAAACTCTTAGTATGCCCCTTAGATTTCGGCCAAGGACTCCCCCACCTTTACTGTTTCCTTTGCTGGGGTAAGATGTAACAACCAAAAGCTTTGCGTACCTTACTGGGCTTGATCTCTACTTGGATCATCCAAAAATGTGATTATGGCGTCCTGGTTGCGCCTTAGATGACAAATTGACAAAAGATTTGTTCAGAACGATACCCCTAACCCTAAACCCTAAACTAACCCTAAACCCTGAACCCGTGGGTCCCCAGGAGCCCCTATGTCAGGGAAAATCCTCTAAGAACCCCTGAGTGCCCCGCAGCATGACCCCTTTTGAGAGCCCTTGCGTCATGTAACTAGCAATTACGTATACAAGTTCGAAGTCGACGTGAGGTACCTAAACCCTGAACCCTATACCTTAAGCCCTAAGCCCTAAACTCTAAACCCTAAATCGTAGTTTCCACTTTCAGCTTTCATTTCCTTTTCCATTATCCCTACATATCCTAATAGTATTGGTCATTATTCCAGCCCCTGCAATATCTTGACACAATCCGTTTGAGCGTTGTCCCTTGCGGTGCACGCGGCGTATAGGACTGGGAACTAAACTGTTACCTGCATAATCGAATCTTGAGGTTCACTTGAGGTACCCTACACTATAACTATACAGCAAATCTAGACGCATAACTTTGATAATCATTCCCAAGCCCTCAACCCTCAACCCTAAACCTGAGCCCTAATACCTAAATCCTAAGCCGTAGAGTCTCAGCACCTCGGCCCTGAACTTCTGGCCTGCGTGCTCAGCTTGTATCTTCACACCTTAGTGTGTTTAGGGTTGGGGTTGGTTTACGATTTAGGGCTTAGGGTTTAGGATTTTAGGGTATAGGGTTTAGGGCGTGTTCTGATACTCCTGGAAGGCATTAGCAAAAAGACTGGGATACCCTAAAGCCCTAAAGTTCACAGCCCAAACCTCGTTGTTCATCAGGGGATCCTAAACAGAAAGATGTTGATTTGAATGTTTCAACAACACCTCAACATATGAACCATAATCTAAACTCCTAGTCTAGTATCCCCTTAACAACCCTGTAGTAGTCCCCCATATAATTCTCTATAAAACCCCCTTAAGAGTTTAGACCCCAAACCCTAAATCCTGAATAAAGGGCGGTTCTGTACTCCCCTATATAATCCCCTTTGAGGACTTGAGAAAAAAGCTCATACTAGCGGCCCGGTGGGTAGAAGCAGAGCCCAGCGCCACAGAGGCCCTCTCTTGCTAGGATGTCATGCAGCACATCTTCGGGCGGCTCCCAACCTCACACGCGGTTAAGGGTTTAGGGTTTAGGATTTAGGGTTTAGGATTTAGGGCTTAGGGTTTTTTAGGATTTAGGGTTAAGGGTTTAGGATTTAGGGTTAATTAGACCGTAAATGCTAAAAACCTAAACCCTAAACCTTGAGGGTGCTCGAAGCATTGCACCTGGGCGGGGGGTTGGCTAGATAAGCCGTGGATTGCCTAAAAAACCCAGGGGTGTAAAATCTAAGGGTTTTAGGGAAGCCTAGTATGGGCCCTTAATCCTGTGGTCTTTATATACCTTTTATGTACAACATACAACCAACATACAACCCTTAAACCTCGATTTAACGATTTAAGAGCCTATGGCTAGGACCGAAGAACAGGTAGAGGCCGATAAAAGGGGCCCATGGTTTGGACCGTAGGGTCAAAGGGTAAAGGGATTCCCAGAGACTTATGGTCTCCGTGAAAGTCTATATGGTACTTGCCACGCAAGAGGGGACCCTAACATTGGCCTTCACATAATCCTCACTATAGTAAGGGACTCCCTTACTCTTGGACACTTTTGAACTCAATATAGCACATCTCTACATACCCGCCTATGTCCCTGTAAACCCTGTTCGGTAGACAGCAAAAGACTTGAGGGACTGCAGGACGCCCACCCAAAAGTTGAACCGCTTGCGCCAGCTTTATAAGCCCTAAGCCCTAAACGCTCAGCCCTAAACCTCGGCTGATGGCAGCCGAGGTGAGGAACTCCCACTTCAGAACCCAATATGTCCCTACATATCCCTATATCTGCCCATGAATCCGTGTATAACCTTATATGTCATATATCCCTTACACATGAGGACTAAAACCTAAACCGTAAACTCCAAACCCTAAACCCCAAACCCTGAATCCTAAACCCCAAACCACAAAACCCAACCTTAACCCTTAACTTCCCACTCCAGCCGGGAAGCCACAGCACCAGAGCTGACAAGGATTCAGCCGACCCAGAAAAGGATGGCAGGGTGGGGGCAGGCCCTGGACCTTACAGGGTTTAAGCTGGAGGATTTAGGGTTCAGGGATTAGGAGGGTTCAGGATTTAGGGAATAGGGATTAGGGTTTAGGATCTAGGGTCTAGGATCTAGGGTCTAGGATTTAGGGTTTAGGGTTGGGAATTTCGGGTGTAGGGTTGAGGGTTTAGGCGTTTCAACAAAGATGGCTTAGGGGCTAGGCTTTGGGAATCAGGATTTTAGGGTTTAGGATTTCAAAATCAAGGCTTAGAGCCTAGTTTTTAAGGATTGAGGGTTTAGGTGGTTTCCGGGAACACATGGGTGCTTCTTAGTATGTCTTCCATAACCCTCTGATGATCCCCGTTTGTTCCTGAGGTCCCCAAAACATCAGGCTAAACTCCAACATCTGAATGCTTTCTTACTTTTTGTAAACATTATCCAGCTGTCAATGACTGGGGGGTGGGGGCAGTGTCCAAGTTACATACTATAGTGTAATCTTTGTGTTTTAACGTTGGTTTTCCCTGAGTAGGCCATATGAGGGACACAGCATTTGGAGGGCTTCCAAAAATTAGCGCTCCATTTTCCGGTTCATAGTAAGCATTATAGTTTTGGGGTACGTAAAGGGGACCCCTGATTTGAGACATGCCCATCTCCAAAACATACGAAGCCTGACTCAAATCTGTTCCAGGCACATAATCGCACATCTGCCATAATGCCGCTGGACAGCCTGGCTACGATTTGCTGCAATCATAACCCCCTATATCAGAAACCCCCGAGCTCCTGACACAATTTTTCCCCAAAGGGTAGCATTATATGATAGGGGAATGCTCATCACTAGAGGAGGGGTTACTTGCAGGGGCAAGGGTTTACTAATGCTTAGCGACCCTCACAGCAAGGACCCTTCGACTATCATATGACTTTAACGGGATTCCAACTTTAGAGACCTTCTTACCAACATCTCCTAAGCCCTAAGCTCTATGACCAAAGTCTCCCAAGCCCTAAACTCCATGACCAAAATCTCTTTAAGCCCTAAACTCTATTACCAAAATCTCTTATCCCCTAAACTCCAAACCCCCTCTCTCCTTGGGTTCCCTAAATCCTAAACACCTAAGCCAAGGGACTCTTGCCAACATTGTCCACTGGTGTAGCGGTGACCCTGACTTGGAAACTAGCTTCCGACGGGTTTAGGGTTAGGGGGTTTAGGGTTTAGGGTTACTTCAAGATGAAAAAGCTTTGGCCAAATAGGGGTCGTATGCCATATGCACATACACATGCATAAGTACATGTTTACGACAGTGTTTTCGCTTTAGGGTATCTTACTTGGAGGGCCAGAGGGGAGTTCCAGAAGTAGGTCAATGATGATGGGGATAACCTGGGTCAGCACGGCGTGTCAGAGTTCAGAATTGCAAGATTGTATAAGTTTGCGAAGTCTTGGGACTTTGCAGGATCTCCTGAAGACATCCGCCTGAACAAAAGCCGAACCTTGCGTTCATGCGTGGGAATACGCACTGAACCTTAAACCAGACAACACGGTTGCTGCACCCTGGGGCCCTTTAGGCTATTACAAAGTCAGCTGCAACCACATCCTTCAACCTAGGCCCGAAGCCCCGAGCCCTCCTGAAACAGCACCCTACGTGTGTAAGCAGTTTATACCAACCGCCAATTCCGAGTCAAAGACTTGCGTACTCAATCGGTCGCGGTGTAGGGTTTAGGGTTGCAAGTTCAGAATTCTGGGATGGGCTGCCCTTATCACCTTTTTGCTCTCTGGCGTGATGACAACGTCGCCTCTTTTCCATTCCTCTAGCCTCTACCAACCACCAGCAACTTAACCTGAAAAGCCTGAAACCGACATCTGCCTGCGAACACACTTTCCATGTCATCTTACATTTGGCTCTCCTTTTGGTTCTCCATAGCTGGAGCAACGGCCCTGAAACCTGCATAAGCCCTACCTGGACCCTGGATGTCCTTCCTTTTTGGGGGTAATGTCCCATAAATTTGTAGGGTATACCCCCCAAAAGGTAGGACATCCAGGGTCCAGGTAGAACTGCTCGTGCTGGTCCGAGGCTCTGCGCTCTGCCCCAGTCTTTCCGAAGGTGCGACAATGAAAGGCTGGGAGGCGTGGGCAAGTCAATGACCTGGAGCTTGGACACACCTGAGGGTTCAGGGTTAGGGGTTTAGGGTTAGGGTTGAGGGTTAGAGATTACAGGGTTCAGGGTTTAGGATGGTTGAGGGTTTAGGGTTCAGGGTTAGGGCTTACAGGACTGCAAGGCTGTAATGAAATTGCATAAATTTAAATGCTACCATGTACTTTTCTTCGTCCTATATGGGAAAACAGGCCCCAGTTCATATTGCTCACCCAGCGCGCCTTTGTCCTGGCTTGGGAAGACCCCATCCGGGCATTGGAACGCCGGCCATCCCAGCACACAGGGCTTTGCTGCAGCTAAGACGTCCACTGAAGCTTTCCAGAGGGGCCCGGAAAGCTCCTCAGCGCTGCTCACGTCGGCTTGGAAGGAGAAGTTGCGTAGTACACCACTCTGGCACAGCTTCCTGCAGGCAAGTGAGCTTGGTCTTTCAAGGCAGCGACTATGATCAGTCATGCTGAAAAGAAGGTCAATCAGCATGCAGCGCTGTCCTGCAAAGAGCCAGTTTTGCACTGAAGCCGCACAAATGCAAAATGAAGTGCGCGTGCAGCGGGTTTGCAAATTGCAAGGAGGCCTTGAATCAATCAAACATCACTGAAACTGCGACAATGCTGGCAATGAGACATCTACGCTGATGCCCACTGGTGAACTAATGCACGTTTGTTGCTGCCGCGTGCTTGGCTTCGCATGACGATGTGCTAGGTCGGAAAGACATCATCTAATTAATTTTCTGGGATTTGGCTTAGCTACTCAAAACCCTCCTTGATGACGTTGAGTCTAAGTTCAATCTTTTACTTGGAGAGGCTTTTGCGCAGCGCAGGCTTGGACATATTGGACGGACTAGGCTATCTACATCGCAGAATTCAGTCCGGACGACCCCAGGCTGCAAGACATCCGCAAGGTGTGTTCGTGTGTGAGCAAGCCTCGGCGTGTATGAGTGGCCAGTGGCCATTTGTAGAAGTGGCATGCAACATCTTCTTCTGTAAAGCCCGGTTGAACATAGCCATTCAGAACTTTCACTGGGGCCAGACACCCTCAGCGGATTCAAGAAACTACGCTGGGCCAGCCGCTGATACATCAGCACTGTGTGGTAGCTTGAAGTAGATTACAAAGGCTCGCCGTCCTAATTATAAGTGCGCTTGGCCCTGCCCGTGGACCTCCAAGTGTCACCCATTACCAAAAGCATTCGTGCCAGTACTTGCAGCACTAGTTCGCCGCTAGCTTATCCTCAAATACCCGTGCTGCTTGCTCATGCAGTTTCGATGAACTGTCAGCCGTAAACCCCTAACCCTAAATGGTGCAACTAAGCAGCAGAATCCCAAATCCCAAGCTGCGGAGTCTCTTTCACATGCGGCCCGCCCATCCAGCTGAACCAGGGACCAGTTGAAGGCAAGCGAGTCGCCATTGCACCCAAGACCTCCGTCTGTATAACTTCAGGAAGCCATAGCTCATGATGCCCCAGCCCAATAGTGAGACTTTAAAATAACTTCATGTAGAACTTTGCGATGTTTATATTAATATGGGAATAATGGGAAGACCCCACAGGAATCCGTAGGCCGCGCTACTCAATACAGGTAGGTCATATGGAAAGTGAGATTTCCTGAGAGCACAAACAAGACTTAGAACAATTGGGGCTGGCACGCATCAATACAAAGAAGGTCAGTGGGACTGACTGAGCCCCTTAACCTTAAACTCTAAACCCTAAACCTCAAACCCTAAACCTCAAGCCCTAAACCTTAAACCCTAAAGTCCCCCTTAAGTAGATAGAATATAGGGTAGATGGGGATGTTGTTTTTATCTATCCAAAGCCATACTGTATCTATTTGAGGAGAACTATAATCCTAAACCCAAGCCGCCTGAGGCACAATTTCCCTCCGACGTGCCAGTTCTTGGCAAAGGCCGCTCTGATCCCAGAAGGGAGCCTCCGGGGACTCTAACATAAAGGGATTATGGGGTTTAGGGTTTAGGAATATCATGGGGTTATATCGGGATAATGGAAAATAAAATGTAAACTACTACTTAGGGTTGAGGGTTTAGGGCCTTTGGTTACCCCAGTAACGGAGACTCAAATGGAAAAGACAAAGGAAAATGAAATGGAAACTGGGGAGTCTATAGGGGAATTACTTACCTTTGGGTAGCCGGGAATGAAGGAATGGAAAAAAAGGAAACTACTGTAATGGGTTATATAAGGTTTAGGGTCTAGTAGGAATGCAAAAAACGGCAACTACTGCTATGGGTTATATAGGGTTTAGGGATTAGGAGGAATGGAAAAGAACACGGAAACTATTATAATGGACTATATAGGGTGTAGGGTATATAAGAAATGGAAAAGAACATGGAAACGTCTATGAGTGCCATTTTAGGGACTGCTAGAAGGATCTCTTCCTTCATTCGTAGCTAACCCAAGGTAAGTTACCTGCCAGCCGTGTGGGGGCTTAGAGTTGATTGCGGGTCCCTTTTGGAGGTTTTTATGAGAAGGGCCACAGTACACTGGAGCCTACATAAAGGTCGACACCGCCAAAACAGCAGCATACACATGCCAACAGTAGCCAAGCCCTGAAGACACCAAGATCTGTATGACGCGCGTATCTTCGATTTGATTGTTCATTTACAAAAAATGTGTATTTATTATTACTATCCATGATGCTGGAGCTGCTTCGCAGTACCACCTTCCACCCTCAAGCCTGGACCATTATGTCGGCCTAAGCCCATGGGCCCTCAAGACCAGGAAAACAAATCCCAACCCTACCGCAGGGGGCCTAAAGCACTAGTTTTTGGAGTATATCACGTTCTGACTACATGGCTGCTTTAAAGGCACCATGTTATTCCATGTTATTGGGCGGGGGGGGGGCGGGGGGGTGGGGCGGGGTTTGTTTGTAGATGATTATTTAGGCTCCTATAGTAGACCCGGGCCTCATGGAAGCGGACGTGAGAACCTTTCCACGCATCCTGACTTGCTGTTAACGAGCTTAAGCAGGTTTAGAATTTAGGTTTTAGGGATAGGGATTCGTCATAGTTGGCGGCAAGTATATGAGCGCAGCTTCCAGTGGGGGAGGGTGATATGAAAGGATAAATGTCTGGGCTACATAGGCTTGCAAAAGAAGTAGAACTTGCTTACGTCAGGTCCTGTCTTTGGGAAAACCCCTTCTGTAGTTGCCTTAGATCAAACCAAGTTACCAAAATATTTATGGACGTGGTAAGACAGCAGAGCTTGATCCTTATGGTATACCTCCAAGCCCTAAACCCTAATCATCAAATCTACGCCCGAACCCCTAATCCGTAAACCCTAATTCCTAAACCCTCGCCCGTAAACCCTAAGCTTGAGCCCTAGAACGCGAACCCTGAATCAGACACTGTACTTCCCAGGCACTGCTCAGGCACTGCTGCCCCAAACTTGCAAACCAAGAACCGTAAATTCCAATCCCCAAACCCCAAACGCGAATCCCTATCTTCAAGTCCTACTCCTTGAGCCCCTTGAACTTGTTTGACCTTGTTGTTCTTCATTCACCTACTGACAGTTTGACACATTGACTTTTAGCTCCCTTCATATCTTGACGAGGACCCCACCCAAAAAAGTATGAAGTGCCAAAGTTGCGGTAGGGCCCCACCTAGCCAACCCTACGCCATAAACCCCAAAACGCCAAATACCATACCCTAAACCCCTAAGCCCAAACCGTAAACACCAAACCCTAACCCTAAACTCTAAAACTTCAAACCCTGACCCTAAAGCCCAAAATCCTACACACCCTAAACCCTACTTACATACCCCAATATATATATATATGCATAGATGCATATCCCTGCATAAGTCTTAACAGCCCCTACAACCCAAATAACCCTCACAGCCACCCAGCGTCGGCCCAAAAGCCGCAAAGCCACTCAGAGTCGGTACGGGCGAACAGGACTCCTTCTTTCACCCAAATGGTTTTGTAGGAATTTTATTGGGATAATGGAAAAGAGAATGGAAACTACTATTTAGGGTTTAAGGTTTAGGGTTTATGGTTTTGGGTTTAGGTTCGGGTTCTACTAGATAAGGTTTAGGGTTTAGAAGTTCTATATGGGGATGCCTAGAGATGGTGTGAGGGTTATATGGGGATGCAGAGGGTTTAGGGATGGTGGTTCGGGGCTTATATTAATCAGTGCCCATTTTGGGGCGCCAATGGTAAGGATTGTAGCCTTTTGGGGTATATAATAAAAGCTCCCTATATTTATGGAAACTCCCAAATTCTCAAAGGTATAGGGGTTATGTCCGTAGGGCTACAGGTGCATGGGCCTGGTTCCGCCAAGTGTACACGGCTTAGGGGTGCTAGGGTCTAGGCTTTAGGAAATTCCCAACGGTATAGGTGTCATGAATTTCTAACTGGGGGTTATACAGTATTATACAGAGACATATATATATATACACATATATATAGGTATCTAACGGTATCTCGGGAAAAATGAGGCATAGGGCCACTTACAAGGGACTATGCACGCGTATGCATGGTCAATGATATACGTTAGAGGATGAAACTGATACAATCGCCTCTGTTGTCCTCTCTGTTTCTTGTGGTTTAGTTTACGCTTATAGCGGGCTTATAGTCTCCATAGAGGGTTCCTGCAAGGCTTGTAACTCACACCCCTTTAAAGGACTTAAAAAGTTCCCTAAACCCTAAACCCTATCTGTTGGTTGTGAAGTTTTTCAAAGGTAATTATTTTGGGCTTATAGAGGTATACCCCGCCCTGTAATCCTGTGATCTGGGTCTTGTGTTGAGGTTTTATAAACGGTTTGGAAGAGTTCATGTTTGGCAGGATGTATAGATACAGCTTCATGCTCAAATGGGGACCATACGATGGGGAACCCTAAGCCCTAAACCCCAAATCCCAAAATTCTAGGGGGCTGGGGCGAGAGGGGGGACTAGGAACACGCAGTGCGGACATCACGGACATGTTGGGAGATTGAGGGCCCTAAATCCTAAACCCTAAACCAAAATTCAGGGGTCCGGCATTTGTTTATGGGCGTTTCCTAGGCATCTCTCAAGTTTGGGTTTAGGGTTCAGGGTTTAGGATTGGGGTTTAGGGTTTACCATAGGATTGAGTTGAGTGTTTAGGGTTCCAACGAGTTCGGGTCCAGATTTGGAGCTTCGGGAACTCTATTTGGAGGTCCCGGGGGACGTAGAAAGTATACCACTATTCACCCAAAAGCCACATACTAACCCGTTATCCCCTTTCTTGGCCTACTCACTAAATCCTCCTGATCCCCTGAAACCCACGTATAAAGGCTCTAATAATCTGATCTGGTTTAGGGCCTTGGAGTCGCCAAGACATGATTTTGACGACTCCCTCAATGCTATACCCAGTTGCTGGTTTCCCTAGGCTAGAGCTTTAGGGTTTATATAGGGAATATGTGAACCCTCTAGACTGTAAAGCAATTCCTTGCAGTTGGCCCACCCCAGCGTTGCTGCGTGAGTGGGTATCCTGAAGCTTAAAACCTTGAACCCACAATGAAGTCATCGCCCCCTCTAATATGCAAACATCCAGAAACCTCTAGTTTCCATTTCATCTTCCATGGTTTTCCAACTTGATTCTCCATTCCTGGGGCATATGTATACATATATATATATATAGCTTATATCACCTAGACGCGAAACTCACAAGAAACGCTAAACGCTATTTTACCCCTATATACGCCCACCCCGCCACCGAACAGAAAAAAACACATCACATCTATGTATATATATGCATATATATATATACATATCGCTTATATCCCCTTGTATCACGTAGACCCGAAAGGGACAAAATGAACTGAAGATGCCGAATCCCTATACTATCCCTATACAATCCCTATAACCCCTATGGTTTCCATTTCATTTTCCATTACCCTGTCGTCATCCTGTATTCACGCAGTCGGCCCAGGACATGTCCTCCGCAAGAACCAAAGCTTTCCTGCAAGCCGTTTTTTTTCTGCCGAAGGGTAGCAGGTTAGAGCTTTGGAATGGTTTAGGGTTTTTGGCTTTAGGGTTTAGCGTTTTTGGGTTTAGTGTTATTCTAAACCCTGGGTCTAGGGTTTTAGAGTTGTATGCTTTTAGGGGTTAAGGGTTTTAAGGCTTTGGGTGGATCATCTGACTGCTGGTTTGTGTTTACATAAAGGTTATATGAAGATTATATGGAGGTTATGTTGGGTTTACATGGGGGTTAGGGGTTGTATGGGATGTCTAGGGTTCGAGGAATTGAGGGTGTAGCGGTAGTTGGATGGGAGGAACGGGTTCTAGGGATTCCTATAGAGATCCATTCCTCATGGTTTTAGCTAAGCAGGCCTAGGTTTGCGTTTTCAAGCTTTAGGGTTTAGGGTTTTGCTACCATCCTTGCCATAATTTTCACGCCAGTTCAAGCTTCATTAAATCTGGGGGCCAACAACTCTCACAGCTGCTTGTG